TTTTTCTTTCTAGATAGATATACCTCTATATTGTGACAATTGTTTGTAGACCCATTTCAAGTAATTTTGTATTTGTGTGTGTGTGTTATTGAACTCTTTGCAATGGATGATCTTGTGTAAAGTTTTGCACTTCTTAACATATCGTTACTTCTACTAATCAGATGCCTTTAGTACGGGTTTGTTTTACGTTTAAAGTATTCGAAACGAGTACGCGTTCGGCGCTGTGATTGGACGGCGCCAATGAAGCAACCAATCAAAGCGCCGAACGCGTACTAGTTACGATTACTTTAAACGTAAATCAAACTCGTACTAAGGCCTCAGAAGTATTAACACTCACTTTCAATCCGTTATGTAATAACCGATTAGCATGCATGAAAGACTGATGACTGTTGATGAAGCGGAAGAGGTAGGTCTCTACCTACCCTCATGGGAGACAGGCGTGATGTTATGTGTGTGTGTGTACTTAATGAGTACCTATAATTTTTTTTATAGCTTAAGCCGGTAAACGAGCAGACGGATCACCTGATGGTAAGCAAACGGCGTCGCCCATGGCCACTCGAAACACCAAGGCGTTAAAAGTGCGTTACAATCATTTTGGGAATTGGGAATTTGAGGTTTGTGTAGGATCCGGTCAAAACTATTCTAAAAATATATCCTACAGTAATAGTAACTTCGTGTACAACTCCAATTTGCAACGACCGGGTTCAGTTCACTAGTGAAAATGAAATTGCATCCGTGTGAAGCCGGGGCAAATCTCTAGCAATAAAATGAATATAAATACAGCGAATACAATGAAATGCAGTCGCTCAATGTTACGTAAATAATTGGATTTATATTTATTAGCCTTTACGTTTCCATGGGCTATTGAATTAGAAAAAATCTACACCTACGGTAGCGGTAATGATTGTAGGTAAATGCAATTATGAAGAGTAGGTAGGGAGGTACGTTCTCTGATGCAGAAAAAGAAGGTTGTCCATAGTATTATGACAATGTTAGTGCTTGGGAATGGTACAGTTTAAGGATCATAAGTCAGGAAAAATTAGTGTACCTTCAGTGTTTAATTTTATTAAAGACTAGCTTCTGCCCGCGACTTTGTACGTGTAATCCCGTTTTCTCCCGTTCCCATAGGATTTTCATGATTTTTTCTATCATATGACAATAACAAACACAACAAAAAAAAATCAGTCAAATCGGTTCAGCCATTCTCAAGATATGGCGTGACAACGCGAAACGGGTTTCATTTATATATATATATAGACTACACACACTTTTTTTTAAGGGGGGAAAATGACTTTCATGCCTGAGTGGGGCAGAAGGGAGTGTCAGACTCTTACTGACTAAAAACCACCCCGTTCCTTCTCCTGCACGTCGAGTCGGAGCCCCGGTTACCCGTTAGGTTCTCCGCGACTCCGAAACCCATCCGTGGTGGTCTGATGGATCTTTGAGGCGCGCGCGGAACGCGACGCGCCGTACGCTCGGGTCTGGTTCTAGTCGGGCGGCGAGCCATCCATGCTCGCCGCCTGCAGGCCCGCGTTTACGGTGGTCGGAGATCGTCGCGCGAGACTACACACACTAGGGCCAAACGTCCTGCGACAGGTGTCGCCAGCGATGTCAGATGAAGTAGCGCGACGTTGCCGGACTTTGGTCATGTCTGGCAACATCAACATCACTGTGGACAACTCCGCTACTGAATGTCGAAGTTTGAAATTATATAAGTTGCGCTTTGTCACCGTATATGTCAGGCGCCATCGGCCGGTTTCGCTCGACAAGTCGTGGTGACATTTGACCCCTAGTGTATTCTTGGTTAAAAGTTGTGTTCTTGTAAACTTAAATTCCATAAATAATTTGATTAAACTCATAAATGTAATGTTTTTATAATAACTTTAATGACGCATACTGAAGTGACTAAAAATCACGAGTAACTCACGTAATACCGAGAAAAGCTCTTATTTAATTTAGGTAACTATAAACGTTAATTAAATAAAATAACATTAACTTTATTTATATATTTAGGGAGTTAAAAGTTTCAAAGTTTAAAAAAAAATACGAAAGAAGGTGAGCTAACTAATAGTAAAAGTATGAATATGAGGAAGTTACAGAATAATGAAATGATAAATAATGAAACGTAGGTGAGCAGCCTACATATACATACATTCGGATAAAAAGAACTAGATACTTGTAAGACGTGTTGAGGTTATTTAAATGCCCTCGAGACTGTAGCATAGTTACTAAATATAGCAGTTTATATATTTACAAATAAATCCTAAACTTTTAATCTTACTGCTCTGATATGAAAAATGTAGAAAAATATTCAGACTTCATCTCACAGAGTTCGGTTCTATCTCTGTCTGCAATCAGCCCGTAAAAGTTTTTACGAAACTGGCGACTAAACACAACACAAACTGTGATAACTATGAAGTATGTTCAACTAAATCTATAAAATCCTAATACGACTTAGCTTTATTTAGATAGGTTGTATCATATCAAAGATCTGGACATACTGTATTTTGTTGCCGAAATTATTAGGCACCAATATTAATTAACCTTCAATTCTAATTTATAAGTAGTGTCTTTATCATTATCCTGTTTCCGATCATGTCCAAATAAAATAAAAAATAATCAGCACCAAATTCGATAATACTATGCTTTTGTAGCTCTTACATACAAGAACAAGGTTCTTCTACGTAACGCTACATGTGCAAACGATAATACGAACCTTCGTATACCTACAAAAATGTCGACAAAGTCATGGGAAATTCGGGAAACGGCACCAATGTGAAATGGTACAATAATAAAAAAAACATCAGTCAATAAAAAAATACTACACAGAAAAAACATCCATCAAAACAATACGTCAGCTAAATACTAAAATCACAAACTTATAAAGGCAATTTCGGCACGAATGGGCCGGCTCGACTGGAGTGATACCAGGCCTCACAAAAAACCGACGTGAAGCAACGCTTGCGTTGTGTTTCGTCGTGTGAGTGAGGTTACCGGAGGCCCAATTACCCTCCCCATCCCCAATCTCCCCAATCCCTGAATCCCCAACGATCCTCAACTCCTAATCCCCCAAAAGCCGGCAACGCACTAATAACGCCTCTGGTGTTCCAGGTGTCCATGGGCGACGCTGATTGCTTACCATCAGGTGATCTGTCTGCTCGTTTACCGGCTTATGCCATAAAAAATAAACAATTAAGACCATACCTTATACCAAGTTTGACTACGCCCCGTTTGAATCTCAGAGTATTCATGGCGCTCTGCCAAATTGCAGTTCTGTTCTTCCAAAATGGTTACATGTCGTATCTCCTAAGTGATCATCATTAGATATGGTGGCTGACTGCCGCGAAGATTCTGGCCTATTAAATTTATTAACCTCTGTGATGTGGACCTTGAATGAATTAGTTGGGAGCTATGAAGTCATCGGGTAATGACATGGTGTTGGAAAACGGCGTGATTACAAATGAATTTTATAACGGTATGTAGAGAATAAACGTCTTTATTAAGAGTATACTAAAAGGGTATGTAGAAGAATTCATTGCAATATTGTTATTAGTTGTAATAGGAAACAGTTACCTTAATGTCCTGTCCTTTACGAAACTGGAATTTAAACATAAGTTTAATTGTTTGACTGCCTCGTTGGCCGAGTGGTCGCAAGTGCGACTGGCGGGCAAGGGATCTCGGGTTCAATTCCCGGGTCGGGCAAAGTATTACTGGGTTTTTGAAAAAAATCTCAGTAGTAGCACGGAGTTTGGAATTGTACCCGGTATACGCCAATAGGCTCACCCCCTATTACATGGGACTCATAACATTAATAGTGAAAAGTGGGTGTTACACTGTACAGTGGCAAAATGTGCATCTCTGCCTACCCCTTCGAGGATAAAAGGCGTGATGTTATGATATGTTATGTTATATTTAGAAGCCTAAATGTTTGACACTGGACAGTGACATTCGACAGTTATGTTAAAACTTATGATAATCGCCGCGTCGGTCGCGGAATGCTGCTCATAAATATGAGCCTCTAGCTTGGCTTGAAACTAGTTCAATAAAACGTAATCCCTGAAAATCCGCTTCAGGTTCGGTACAGCCACATATAAACCGGAGTTCCTCGTCAAATTATTATGGTAGTAAGCCGAAAAACACAATAATTAATATAGTATATCTGACGAAAGCTATCTATAATATCAAAGCTTATGTTGTGCAAGCTTACCTACTTACAGATTAATTTGTAAAAGTGATAATTCTGTAAAGCAACTAAATGATATTTAATAAGACGAACTAAAATCTCAAATATCGGACTCAATCAACGTTCCAAATAAAAATATTGTATCGTCAAAGAAAAAAAGGTACCTAGTTACATTTTTTGATTACAGAATTTTCTGCACGGAGTTGGATTACAGCTTCATGTTTCGTTGTAAGCCCTCTCCTTATTACTTGGAAGGTATGTACGTATATAGATAAATGGTAAAATGTTGATATACTAAGTATACTCAGTACAACTTATAACTAACTAGCAACTTCCGCGTGGTTTCACACGCTCAGCTCAGCTCAGTCTTAGCGTGATGTTTTATAGCCTATAGCCATCCTCGATAAATGCGCTATCCAACATAAAAATAATTATTGAAATCAGACTTGTAGTTACGGAGATTAGCGCGTTCAAACAAACAGGCAAAAAAAATCAAACTCTTCCGCTTTATATAATAGTTTATGATTATATTTCAGGGGCAAAGCACCTATAGCCAGTGTACTTGTATGAATAAGTACATGAGTGCGATGGTAGCTAAAGAAGTATGTAGGTAAGGAAAGTACCCGAAGATACTCTATGGCTCCTGTCTACTCTCATGAGACAATGGCATCTGTGTACCTATAACTCTCGTGTGTTTTACCCACATCCTATATCTTTTTAGACACAATCATTTAAAACAACGAGATTTTCTCATTTCCCGAATTAATGGAAACGATAAACACATTTTAATATGATTTCTCGGTGAATTCAGCTTTACCTCAAAACAACAAACGATATAATCCTTATTCACTTAATAACTACACGGAGCTTGTAACCCTTTTACACTAAAACCACTAAAATATTGTTATGAATGGCCATTCATAAAACACTATTCATTCACAAAATTTTCACTCACTTTACACTAGAAACACGACTCTTTTCCTACCAAAATTACGTTTAAAAAACTATTTTGTTGACATAAAATACTGGATACGGCATCAATATGCAAAATGAAATAAAAAAAAGCGCGGTAAAAATGTGGCGGGTAAATTCGATTCGTATTTGGAAGCGACGCGTCTGGCTCGCGCGGATGGCGGGCGACTACTGGCGAAGCAGACGAAGCTAGATTTGAGGGTGTACTATAAATGTGTGTTGACCTATGTTAGCTTAGGTCCCTGTAGAGCTAAGCTCACAAAACTGTGCTGACAGTCGAGGGAAAATAGCTTTCGTTACATTTCTAACCAGTTCAATGCAATTACTTATCTATATTACTATTTTTATAGGGTTTGGTATCTTAGAACGTGTTAGGGTTTCTGTTTGACCCTTGTCCAGTTCCTAAAATATGTGTCATAAGGAATCACAACTTCACACTTTTTATTTTCCAAGGGGTCAGGTCAAGGTGCACATTTTTTAATCTAATATCTTCTTTTAACTAGTCTTGTTATCAGTTCTCTAAACAGTGGGTAAGCATATTGTTAGTGCTATACATTTTGTTCAGTCCGAAAATTTCCCAAAATATTTGATTGACTTACGCGGGAATTAAGCCTGAAACTTATTTGCCAGTAACCACATGTTACTCGACCAAGGAGGCAGTAATTGCCATCTCTTTTTACTCACCAAATAGAGGTAATGTGAAGCTCTCGCCTTTTCGACCAATAGAGATTATTCCCTATTAGACGAAATGCTAGCTGGACTAGCTTATGCTTATGCTAGTATGCTAGTATCACACCATTGGTTATTCAATTGTTGACAGCTACAGCGATTGGACAAAAAATATCTTCCCGCCATCTAGTGAGCAAAATACGGTAGCCCTCATTATCACTTCTTTTTGTTAATTAAAACAGTAAGTAGTTGCTCAGAAATCATTTTATGTAAAATATATTATACTAGCGACCCGCCCCGGCTTCGCACGGGTGCAACATGCATGTATTATACATACAAACCTTCCTTAAGAATCACTCTATCTATTAAAAAAAACCGCATCAAAATCCGTTGCGTAGTTTTAAAGATCTAAGCATACATACGGACATACAGCGAAAGCGACTTTGTTTTATACTATGTATTGATGCATTTAATTTCTTTCTTAAAATCTCACTTTTAGTGCCAAATAATAATGTAACATGCTTTGGAAAAACCAAAAGACAGACGGTCGATATACAAGTACTCTACTAGTTTTAGGTAGGTAGTTTTGTGTTTTGTCATGTGAATGAGGTTACTGGAGGCCCCTCTCCCCTTCACCAATCTCCAAAATCCCTGAATCTCAACGCACTTGTAACGCCTCTGGTGTTCCGAGTGTCGATGGGCGACGCCAATTGCTTACCATCCGGTGATCCATCCGCTCGTTTACTGGCTTATCCGATAGAAAAAAAAAATAAGCTTTTGATTAAATTTTAAGCCAACTGCTTAGCACATTGTAATCAAATAAGGCGTTCGAAATCAAACCAATTTATATTTGACAGTTCATAAGGAGTGTATTATGGAGTAACATTTAGATTTGGGAAAATATTGATTACAATGACTTTATCCACTAACAAAAGTTAAATGTTATGTATGACATACATATTATGCAGTTTTAATCCATATCTATACATCTTCTATACAATAAAATCGTAGGAAAATTAAAACTGTACATCGAATATTTTTTTTTTAAAGAATGCTTTGGATGTGATCTACAGTCGATACCGAAACCAAAAATATGGTTATTAGATTTTTTGCCTGTATGTATGTCCGGGACAAACTCAAAAAGTGCTGCATGGATTTATTTCAAATTTTACACGAATATTACAAACAGGTCGGTTCAACATATAGGCTACATATTATCATGCCATCAACTACGTGTGAGGAGCTGTGAATCACTATTCCACGCGGATGAAGTCGCGAGCTCAGCTAGTAATAAAAAATTTTGTAGTCAATGAAAGTTCGATGTTCCTCTGTATTGTTCTTCTATATAAGAGGAGCTCTCCATGAACATTTTCTACCTTAGGGTCAACATGAACATGTAAATATTTGTTAGTACGCCTTGTCAAAACAATAAAATGAAGTCAGGCGTAAGTTATTGGCTACCAAAGGTTACCAAACTGAATAAAAATCAATCGCCTCAATAAACAAATGACTGAAGCAAAGCTTAGCTGTTTCGAACTAAGATATAGATAATCTAGATATGTTTTGCAAATTATTTTTGTGTAAAATTTTCTTTATTCTTTGTAATAATTATATTACTGCCCTCGTTGGCCGAGTGATCGCAAGTGCGACTGCTGGTCAAGGGGTCTCTGGTTCGACTCCCGGGTCGTTTAAAGTACTGTTACTGGGTTTTAAAAAAAAATCTCAGTAGTATCACGGAGTCTGGAAATGTGCACGGTATATGGTAATAGGCTCACCCCCTATTACATGGGACTCATAACATGAATAGTGAAAAGTGGGTGTTACGTTGTATAGTGACATTGAGTGCCGAAATGTGCACCTCTGCCTACCCCTTCGGGGATAAAAAGGCGTGATGTTATGTTATGTTATATTTATAAATATATTATATATAAATATAACATAATATATATGGTGGTGCTGACAATGTTTCCATATAAATATTTTTTCATAGGACATTATGTAAGTACAGGTAAAGAAATGAAACAAAATACATACTTAGAGTAAATAAATGCATCATAATTATTACAGAGAATACCTGTCGAAAAGTAAATGTATTATAATTAGACACAGACTTCATTAGTAGGTGCATGAGATAAACGTTCAATTTTGTAGCACATTTATTTTTCCTGTACTGAAATGACTGTCATTATTATAGAGGTATTTTCCTTTATATATGCGAGACATACTAAATACGTACTCAAGAGATCGTGGTGTACATCATTATGATAACGACTAGTACGCTCAAGTTGAGCTTGGCATATCTAGGCATGCGTTATCTTTAGTTTCGTTCGATATCATTGCGTTCGTCGAAACAATTTTTCCAGGCAGTAAACAAGTTTCGCTTTATAAATAGGTAAGTAACAGTTTCCGAATAAGAACCATTTGATTTTCTTTTATTTTTAGTCTACCGAGTTGTTATGTCAAAGTTCTTGGTAAATAGCAAAACTTGGTTTGCTTGTAACATAAAGTCTATCATAGGAATTCAACACTTTAGGAGAAAAATCTCTGAAAAAGACGTATTTCATTATACTCATTTGCTGAGTGGTCGCCAGTGCGACTGCCGGGCAAGGGGTCTCGGGTTCGATACCCGAGTTAGGCGAAGTATTACTGGGTTTTAAAAAATCTCAGTAGTAGCACGGAGTCTGGAAATTTGCCCGGTATATGACAATAGGCTCACCCCTATTACATGGGACTCGTAAGATGAATAGTGAAAAGTAGGTGTTACATTGTATAGTGGCATTAAGTGCCGTAATGTGCACCTCTGCCTAAAAGCGTGATGTTATGATATATCTCCATATCACAGCCAGTATAATATTTGTGATGTTATTACAACATGTCCTTAACAATTTAGTCGACAGTAGCGATGCATGTTTGTGTATCTCTCGCGCTGATTCGTGAACAAACACAAACACATTTCAATGCTCCATCCACTACTCAAGTCAATAGTAACGTTGTTTACTTTCTTGTGCAAAGGGAAATATAAATAAGCACTTAAAGATGTGTACCTATATATACTAACTGTGTTTACTACAGAAGAGTGTTATACAGGTTTTCTGATACAAAGGACATAATCATAATGTACCTATGTCTCCTTTACATCTCCCAAAGATGAGATTAAGATAGTAAACGAGCAGAGATGGATCACCTAATGGTAAGCAATCGGCCTCGCCCATGGACATCTGGAACACGAGAGGCGTTGCAAGTGCGTTACCGGCCTTTTGGGGATTAGGAGTTTGAGGATCGTTGGGGATTCAGGGATGAGGGAGATTGGGGAAGACCAGGGGTAATTGGAATAATTGGGCCTATACTAACCTCACTCTCACGACGAAACACATCACAAGCGTTGCTTCACGTTGGTTTTTTGTGAGGCCGTGGTATCACTCCAGTCGAGTAGGCTCATTCGGGCCGAAGAATGGCTCTCCCACACTTATACACATTGCAATGTAACACTCACTTTTCACTATGTAGGTTGAAAATCTTATGGGGGTTCAACCTATAGTAGATAATAATGCAATAGCCTAGTAGATTTTTTATTACTAGGAAATTGTCAAAAATCTTACAAAACACGAGGCATCCAGGCTCAGCAATCGCTCTGATGACCGACACGGCAGCTTTGAGTTTGCTTACAGGTAGATCTAGTATGTAGACCTTAGCTTTTAGTCAATAAAAAAAACATTAAATAATCATTCTATGCTTGCTGTCTTCTAAGTACTTGACCGTCATAAAACATCGTATTTTTGTTTTTTTTTTTAAGGAGGGAAAATCATCGAATGCCTTCTCCTGCATGGGTGAGCGCTCCTGCACGCCTTTTTATACCCATGCTCGCCACCCGCAGGCCCGTGCATAAAACATCGTATAATTTTTATTTTTTAAAGTATAAGAATTCTTTGTACTTTGTCAGCAAATAACTCTATTCTATTACGAAAGTGCGAACCGAGGGCCGAGGGCTATACAAACTGATACAGTTATAGCCCAAGTTTATGTTTGTTCTGAACGACGGTACAACTTGAAGGCGTTGCAACTTTGCCGAGAAATGAACCCAATTACTTGCCAACTCGAGTGCTAGCTAGTATCTACTAGTTCTTTCATGGTTACGTAAAAGTATCGTTATGTTTGAAGAAAAATTATTAAGTTTACGAAAATTTATTTTTTCTTTTAGGTATAGAAGCAAGCTTCTAAAGATTTTTTTTTATGGGACAAGCCCGCCACAAGCTCCCAAACCGCTGCAACTCCTGTAAGCCAGGACCTACAGAAGATACAACCATCAAAACATGTGTCCATCGGCGCCGCCGATTGCTTACCACCAGATATCGGTTTATCCCATAAAAAACTGATCATTAGTTGTAATAGTGAATAGTGGGTGTGTTAGATTGTACAGTGGCGTTAAGTGCCGTAATATGCACCTCTGCCTACCCCTTCGAAGATAAAA